GTATTTGTACAAACATTATTATTACATATAGAAAAGAGACTCGATGAAATTTTATATGGCTGTTAAGGATATGGATGTGAGTTCTAATCTTCTGATCTTGATTTATATCCTATTATTTATAGTTCATCTATAAAGAAGAATTGTTGTGGTAGTTAAATAAAAATAGAAAGGAAAAAAGTTTTGATATTAAATTGCTGGATAACAATAAGTATAATTCGATTTATTTTTAATCTCATAGAAAATATTTTGTACTGATAGAATATATTTTTTATAATTTAGATAGTCTAAATTAATGTAAGTACGACATTCCAATCTTATTAGCAATTATAATGAACAGCTTTGTCATATCTTTTTAAAGATATTTAGAAGTTTATTAGAGTTAATTAAAGCGCAATCGGATAAGATGGATTGAAAAAACAACGACATATGAATGTCACGAACTCATAGCATGCATGCAGACAATATAAATACACGTGTCTCAAAAACGCAAGTGGCGAAGATGGCGCTCTCTATCTATTTACATCACAGACAGAATAACTCCTATCCGAATATGTTTTTTATATGAGCTCTGAATACGCGTGTCAGACTTTCGAATGATATATTATTGGATAATATCTGCTCTTGTAATAATAATAATAATAATAATATGAGGATGCGAGTATAATTTTTTCGCGATTAAATAGTATGCTATTTTATTTTTTTTATTCATTTTTCTAATGTTTATTTTAATATTAATTTTTTAATCGTTCCGTATTTTTACGTAAAGTTGATGAAATAGGAGCTTTTTCATAATCAATTTGAATCATCACTTATTGTTGGTGATTCTTCATCATCTTTTTCAGATGAAACAGTAGAAGTATGATCGAGATCATTATCTAGAAAGAAATTTGTTTGTTTTTTTTTGAATAGAAAAAAATTAGAATTTTAGTTAAGTTTTCTTACGTGTATCCGATGATGGTAATCGAGTTTTTTCATTGTCACGCTAGAAAAAGAAACAAAATAAAATCAATTAAAAATTAAACAGAAAAAAAAATCTTACAGAAGTTGAAGGTGGTGATTGTGTTTCCTCATCTGTTCCTTCAAAATCTGCAGCATAGACTAAAAAATTAAAATTAAACAAAAAAAAAACAGTTTCTAAAATTATTAATTTACGATTTGGTGAACTAGTCGGTTTTGGTTGATGACTTGGCTAAAACAATAATTGACAAAGAAAATTTATTGATAAAAAAAAATTATCTACCGAAGTCCTTGGACGACCACTTGTTGGAGATGGTGATTCATGTCGTTCTATAATAGAAAAAAAAAATATTCAGCGTTTATTTAACATTGACTATATATATACCTTCCAAACTTGACACATCAGATTTAATTGATTCTGGACTCGATGTACGAAATTCAATTTTTTTTGAATGATTAGTTTCAATTGGTTTTGGACTCGATGTAGGCGATCCATTTGTTTTAGAATAATCCTTCTGATCAGACTCAGTTGATTTCGGACTCGATATAGGTGAACTACTTATTTTAGAATCCGTCTTATTCGATTGTGTTGATTTAGGATCGGATATATCGGATGTTTTTTTCTGTGGACTTGCCGTACGTGAAGATGTTAATTTTGATTTTGTTTCACGAGAAGTACTTGGTGTACGACTTTTATTTGGTTTTTGATAATAATTTCTTCTAGTCTAAAGAAATTTTTTGAAAAAAAAAATTTTTTTTTTAAGAAAAAATAAAATATACTTTTGGTTTTGGTTCTCCTTCCATTAATTTTTTCATTCGTTGTTCAAATCGACATCTTTTAAATGACAAAAAACAAAAAAGAATAATAAAATAAATTTTAAATAAAAGACCTTCGACATGGTGCACATTTTTCGATATTTCTAATAGCAAATAAACCACGTTTTCCTCCAATTCGCATATCATCTTTACATCTATATTCACAACAAACTGATAGACGATTATTAATAACACCATTTATATAAAATGCTAATGCAAATGGATAATCTTGATGTCGTCGAGATTCAAATGAAAAATCATCTAAGAAATATTTAATTATTTTATATAAATAATTTTATTATTTAAATTACCATTAGGTTTTAATAAACCTTTGAAAACAATAAGATTTTCTCCACCACAATGTTGTTGCATAACAATAATTTCATCATCTTGTGGTATAAATAAACTACGATCATAATCAATATTGATTTCTTCGCCAAAATATTTCATTGTTATAAAACATCGATTATCAGCAGGCATTATCTATATGATATAAATATAAATCGCAGAGTTTTTTTTTTGTTTTGTTCTTGTCTTTGTCATTTATTTAAAATAATGGATGATAGAAAAGTTTTTACACAAGATGTTTGTCAAAAGCTATTAGTTAGAACTGAACTTCAGTAGTCTAAAATAATTGAACCCATTAAATCATCAGATAGATACAAAAGTATATATGTATGATATTGTTTTGTTGTATACTAAAATATGTAGCGTCTTTTAATCTCAACAATTCAATAGTGAAAATTTCTTAAAAAATATATTTAAAATTTTCGTATCTATCTGATCATTTAGCAGTTCCGGTTCTACGTGATGTTTTGGGAAGCGAATCGGAACTCTAGCTAAGGCCAGAATTTTTTTGAATATAGCCTTAGAAATTTTGTCTCATTTTTTGTTCGAAAGTAGTAAAATAATCGTTGAAAAGACTAAAAAATTTGTTTGGATGGCAAACTTTTGTATTTTCACTAGTGCGATTTGAAACTGAAAAATTAGAATCTTTATTTATATATCAACTTATAGTGCAGAAATTATCCTACAAAGTATGCTATATTTTTAAGGAGCTCTTGAAAAAATGCTCGTAGCTTTACTTGAGTAAAAGCTATAGCTTATGAGGGAACCGTTCGAGCGCTGTTGAACCTACATTATAATCCTTCAGTAGGTCCTAGCAAGTAATGAGAATGGCTTGGTTTCTAAGATATCGAATTTTTACTATGTTTTATATTTTAGAAAAATGTCTTAATTCTACTCAGATTCACCTGGAAAATCAATTTTAAAATTTTTCACAGATAAAAACCTCAGTGAAACTGATTTATTCTAAAAGTTTCAGACTTTTATTTGTATCTATTCCATGATATGAATATAAGCCACAATTATCGTTAACATCACTAATGGTACAAAATGTTTTATATTCGCGTTTTAGGATCTAGGAGCAACTACAAAGTCTGAAACCTTCACAAAGAGCATTTTTCTAAAAAAAAACAGTAAAAATACGATATCTTAGAAACCGAGTCATTCTCATTGTTCGCTAGGACCTATTGAATGAATATAGGCAATTTTACACTTCGAGAGTTCAATATCACATTTTTTGGAGAATAATTTCCGTTCTACAAAACGATGGATTCCAACAATGTAAAGCAGATTAAACAAAATCCTATTAGCTAATCATTAAAAATAATTTTTTTGCGTCTTTCAAAAAGTCCCAGAAAAATAGACAAAATATTTCTAAGCTCATATTTGAAAAGAACATTCTAATTCATAGCTTTTAATTCAATAAACATTTTATCTAAAAACTTTCCGATTACTCGCGTTGAATATTTTCTTTTGCTTTAAGTTATATAATTTTGATTTTTTGTTACTAAAATTTTGATTTCATGTGAAGAAAAGAAAACAACAATTGAAGATATTTATTGTCGTCGTAGGAGTATTGTAATTTATTACTATGAGAATAAGAATGAAGAAAACTGTCAAGTTCTTTTCTGTTTCTATTCTGTCCATAAATCTCATTTTTTTTCTTTTTGACGTTCGTAGACAAAAAAAAATACATTTCTACCGAATGAAATTTTTTTGCGTATTTTTGATCGAAATATAATTTATATAGATATCAACAGAAGACAAAAAAAGAATGAATTTGACTGACAAAAACATCATAACACTGAATGTCAAATATTTGTTTTATTTCTTCCTTAAAGAAAAAATAACTAAAAATTTATAAACATTACAATACCACGGGACTGACTGCATCACGAAGTCGAACATTCTCTATCCATGTTGATTGATTTGACGATGAAAAACGTGTTGAAAGTGGTGTTTTGTTTGTCTAATAAAAACACAAAAACTTTCTTGTTTTTTTTTTTCAAACAAAATATTTTCACGTAATTACTTGTTTTGATTGAGTGGTCGATGCACTTTTAAGTCTTCGGTCAGTTGAACTATAATTAGGTGGTTGTGATCGATCTTGTTCTTTTGTATTCTATTTAATTTCAAAATAAAAAAAAAACATAATAATAAGAAAGAATATTTCGTCGCACTGAAATATTTTGTTTCGGATGTCTAATAGTCGATGTAACCATTGGATAATATAATTTTCTAATTTCAAAAATAAAATCATCATGAATTTTTTTTTAAAAATATATTCGATTACTTATTTGAGGTATGTCGTCGTTTGAAACGACGTTTATATTCATCTTTCGGGATAATATCCCCACGGCGATTGATCTATTATGTAGTAAAAAAAAGAAAATATCGAGCAATATGTTGTTTGTTAAATTAAAAGAAAAACAAAACTTACTAAGCCAACATTAATTAAATGTGTCCAAATATGATCAGTATTTAAAATAGCTTCTAATTGTTCATGAGTTAATTTTTTTGATTTTCTATCGAAAAAAATAATTGTTATATACAGTCAATGAAAAACTTACTTTGTTTCTGCCATTGTATATGCGTCGTGATTTATGATTGATCGTTCTGTTTAAATAAAACACTTGCAGCGTTGTGACAAACATTCTTTTATTTTTGCCAACTTAAAAGAAAGAAAAAAAGACGATGTGTAATTTTAGCTTTTGTTCTTTTTCTTCCTTGACTGTGTCAACATTTATAAGAAAATATTTTTAGCACGATAGTTTATTTGACAAAAACCGCACTACATGATTTTCTCAAAGCATCAAAGAAAAAATAATCATAATTCGATTTGAAAAGTTCTTAGCCTGTTGAAGACATGAATAATAGTTCTTGATCGATTCATAACTGACTTAGGTATATCCGTTATGACTTCTATGCTAGTGCAAATTATCCACCTTTCATTTTTAATGTGATGTGACATAATTGCCTGTTATAGTTTTATTTACATTTCTTTCTGTATATGCGCCTATATTTTTCTGCGTAGAATCGTTATCTAAATATTGACTTTTGGTCTGTAAGGAGGTAGAATATTAGGTTTTTGAGCATAAAAAAAAGTAATATGGATTTTGTATTTGTATGAGAGGGGAAGTTCAATGTACAAATGTTTATTAATTCGCTGTTAACTCTACTGTTGAAATACGATCAATAATATATCGAAATCGATAAAAAAAAATTCATTATTTTCTCACAATGATTGAAAAAATGCCAGTAGACTCGAATACAACAGATATTCATCGTAGATTAAAACGATCATTTTTTCTTTGGTTTTATGATTTTATAATTTGTTCTTTATTTTTAATAATAATATTCAACGAAACATATTTTAATTGACTGGCTTATTTTTGTTTCTATTTTATTCATGTCAGAAAACAACAAATAAAGTTAAGCTTAGTTTAATGATGTCGTTTTTTTTTCCTATCGACCCCCCTTTAATATATGCCAACCCAGTTAGATAGCATGAATATATTTGCGTTTTTCTTTTTTTATTATAATAACATATTTTAAGAGATTTTCAACACATTAACAATATTCATGTCAAAAGAATCTAAATAGCTTTATAAAATTATAAAATCAAAATGTTGAATTTTTCTATTAATTGGAGAGATCGAATCCACATTATTCTTTCAAATATTTTTTCATATGTTAATATAATTCTTTAAAGATGCTTAAATTATATTGTCTAGCAATATCCTGTGGTTTTATTAAATATCTTTTCTTTGATTATCAATGTAAGTCTTATAAAATGTATTCTAATAGTTATTCACACTGTTTTTTTTTCTTATACAAGATTACATAAATTTTGTTTTTATTTGCTTGTTTAGTAAAAATGAAGAAATAATAACAACGGATGATTGATAAGTAATGAGACAAAATATTTATTCATTTTTCAGCCTTTTTAAGGAGCTTGCACAAACTTGAAAACATTAGATCAGAAGCAGAATTTTTTGTGTAGAAAATTTTTGTAGAACTGTTGACTTAGAAATTATAAGTGGAACTTCTAAAGACCATAAAATTACCTAAAGTAGAAGCGAAATTTATTTGAAATACAACGAATAAAAGAATAAACATTTCTCTATAAGTTGGTTCTAAGTTATTTATTAACAGCAAGTGTTTTGGTAATCTTTTCGATTTCTATGGAAAATAGAGAGACAGATAATAGTTCTGATTTTAACGCTATTGAACTGGTCTGAAACATTATCAAACAGAAAATTAAAAACAAGAGTTCAAAGTCACCAGGTGAACTAGAGAATGCAGTTGATGAAGCTTGCAATAGCCTATCATTCAATATTATTTAAACATTTATTAAAAAAAGACTCAGAAAGTATATCAACACTTTTGTATCTTTATATTAAAATTTTATTTGTATTACACTTGTACTATTCATACATATCCAAGAAAACTTCTTGTGACTGTAAACTTTATCTTTTAGGTCCAAAATATGATTCGTAGTCGTTAGTAGTATAGTTCCCAAATCATTAATAAGAATAAGATAAAACGGTCTACAAGGACAACACTTTTACTTTTCTAAATAATAAAAAAACATCCAAATGGAATAATATTTTCTGTGGTATTGTTAATATGAAAGAAAAACATGATGATAATAATACATTTTTGAATTCAAGGTTATGTTTTTTTTCTTTTCTTCCGTGTTAGCTTTTTCAGCTTTGTCACGTTTAATCTCAACGGATATATCAATTAGAAGGATAATAATATAAGTCATTTGGATTAAAGAGATAAGATAGGAGAAAAAAAACAGAAGAGTACTTATTATTATCATCCAGAGTTATTTTTTTTTTAAATTCATATAATGTAGATCAGTTACTAACTCTACTATCTTTCTATATTTTCAATATTGAGATTACTAATTAAAGACTACTACAAATAAATAAGTGTGAAATTCTACTCTGGCTTTTGTTTTGTGAATAAATATTGTTCGTTTCTTCTTTTTTTTTTGCGGTTGTTGTATTCACTAGAATAGATAGTTTATATTTAGTTCATACCGCATTTAAACTATAATTATTATTTTTCATTGTCGACAGATAGCGTTTTATTATAATAGTAAACAGAAGTATGCAATATGTTGTTAATCTGAATTAAGTTGATTATGATGTAATTTTTTTTTTGATAAGAGAAATGATTATTTTAAAATAATAATTCAAGGAAAAAAGAAAATTTCATGACTGAAATTTAGTATCATTTGTAATTAAAATAGAAACATTGTCAAGTTATGCTTTTTATTTTTCCGGAAAAGGAAATATATATTTTTTCTTTGATTGATATAGAATTCATAAAAAAAGAAAGAAAGAAAGAATTAATTAATCAATCAGAAAAAAAAACGTGACTATATGAGGTAAGAATTCAATTTAATTTAGTTTTCCATCTTCCCACACAGTTCCGCTATTCCATGTTGGTTTTTTTTTCGATAGAAATTGCATCTTCTATCATAAATAGCTCAATTATATAATGAAACTAATCGGATCTGAAGATAAAAAAACCTACATCAACCGATTCACCTCAATATGACCTATCTACTAATATGTTTTCCGAATAAAGTAGATTTTCTTGTAACAAGAAAAGCAATTTATTTCAATTCTCTGTATTCTGTCATAGAGACGATTTCAAAAAAAACAAAAGGTGGATGAATATTTTTCGAATAACTTTTGATAGATAGAGAGCTGCGGTTTTTACTGTTGATCTTTTATACTTAATCCTCGGGAAATAGATCAAACGAATGATGTGATTTGTTTTTTAATCTTCAGATTCAATTGAGCTATTTCTTAACAGAAGACGCAATTTCTATTGAAAAAAAAAAACTACATAGGTGCAACGGAACTGTGTGGGAGGACGGAAAAAAGTAAATCAAATTGGATCTTCTCTTTATTATCATGTTTTTCTTGATTCATTAATTTTTGTATTTAAATGTTTATTCTTTTCACAAGGTTAAAAACCATTACTCGATAACAGTTATAATTCAGTTACAAATGAAATACTAACAATGCTTTTTTTCTTGTTTCTTCATAAAATTTAGATAGCTAAGTTTACAATACGAATTAACAGGTTTAAATTCCACTGAAAAATGTCTTTCTCATTACCACAATGGGTGAGAACATTATCTATCATTCAACGACAAAGTGCTCCTTATATCTACTCAATGTTTCTTATATTTGGTATTACTGGTTGTTGTCTCAATATTTTACTTTTATGTTGTCGACGAAAATTTCGTACAGTAACCTGTTGCATATGTAAGTCGATTTTTCATTGATTACAAAGAACTTAGGATATGGATCTGGTTATTCTCTTTACTGATACTTATATTAGAGCCCATTGGATCCAAGAATTTTTGGACCCGGTGGACTCTAACCCACACACACCCTCGATTGGTTATATCATAAATCTAAATTGAAAGGTAGATGACTTCAGAATATGGTTTTTGAGAATCTTTATCAAAAACTCATCCGATTGGTCAACAATTGATCAATCAAATTTCGATGGTCCCAGGTCTTCTCTTTTAAGTGGTGAAAACTATAGATCTCTACGATGTTCTTATCAGCAATTATTCAAAACCTATTGACCTTGCCTTATCTAGGGTGGCCTATAAGTCACCGGGCAATCTTTTATTTCGGATAACTTTTGATAGGAACAAGATATGAATCTGCAGTTTTCATCATTCGAAAGAGCGATGTTCAGACTATCGATCTATATAATATTCACTAAGATGAGAGAAGCTTTTCAATTGACATCGTTTTTTCTGTATATTTTCATAAATTTCCGCAATAATCTCATCTCAAATTACGCAAAAAATGTAGTTTAAATCACTTATTTTTCATTATAAAGTTATCCCTTTATATATTATTCCGTCAAGTGAACCTTCGAAAAAAAAAGTAATAAATTTATAACGAAAAATAGGTGATTTAAGCTACTTTTTTTACGTAATTTGAGACGAGATTATTGCGGAAATTCATGAAAATATACAGAAAAAGCGATGTCAATTGAAAAGCTTCTCTCATCTTAGTGAATATTATATAGATCGATAGTCCGAACATTGTTCTTGCGAATGGTGAAAACTGCAGGTTCATATTCTGTTCCTATCAAAAGTTATCCGAAATAAAAGATTGCCCGGTAACTTACGGACCATCCTGTACTTTATCGTCGATAATATTCATAAAATTGAATAGATATGGCAGCAGCATCTATAACAATGTTATTTAATTTGTCTTTGGGTATTGGAACAACTCTATTTTTACTTAATCCAAGACATTTTCATGTATTATCACCAACTTTTTCACGAACAAATACATATATACTTCAATGTACTTCGATGATATATCGTTGGTGTTTAGTTGCAGCAAGTTTTGATCGATATGCTATAACATCAACCGATTTAAATTTAAGAAATTTTGCTAGAATGCATATAGCTCGTCGTACTATTCTTATGATTGTAATTATTTGGTTTGTATTACCTATACATAATCTTATCTATAATACGGGAAATGTAAATGCAAGTAATCTATCTTATCATGCTCCTTTATTATACTATCATAGTATTTTTACACTTACAGCTGGATGTCTTCTTCCAGCATCAATTATGATTATTTGTGCATTTTTAACTCATCATAATCTTGTACTTAAACGAAAACGTCGTCAATTGATTATTGCTCAACATGTAGGAACTCATAATGATGTAAGAGATCAAGAACGAAAACGTGATCGTCAAGTTTTACTTTTATTAGTTGTTCAAGTAGTTGTATTTATTATTACGATTATTCCATTGATGACTTCACATTTTTATAATGCTACAACACTTAATATTAAAAATAGATCAATTGAACGAATTACAATTGAACGATTTGCTGCATATTTATCATCATTAAGTGTTTATTTATTTCCTACTTTATCATTTTATTTATATACAATGACTTCGAGTATGTTTCGTAATGAATTAAAGAAATTAATGCGATTTATATTACGATGTAATTGTTTACGTGCTAATGCTCGTATTGAACCGATTGTACACAATATTAAACAGAGACCAATTACTAGACATTAATTCAAATTAGTAACAATCTTACAATTTTCTTTGTTTATTATTCAAAAACCAGTGAGATAGACGAATAATATTGTTCGACATATAGAAGATTTTGATTTTTTTCAAAAAAAAACATTATTAAATAAGACAAAGTTCGAGAATTAAAAATGATTGTCGAACAAATGGAAGAATTTTATTAATATAAAAATAAAATAAACTGTTATACCTTATATTGACGTTAATATTTCTTCATTTTTTACGTCTGAAATCTTTGTTTAATTTAAATCTAATGAACATTTTACATAAAAATATTATTGTGTCGTTATTTTATAAAAAAAAAATTTATTGATGATTTTGTCTAATCAATAGTTCATTGAAGATCGTAGTTTTTTTCTCATTTGATTTTGTAATTGTTAGTATTTAACAAAAGTCTTTTATCTTTAGACGATTGTTTTCATTTTATTCTTCTCTTTCCTTAGAAGATATCATTTTCAATGTGTATTTATTCTTTATACGGTCGTCTTAGTTTTTTGTTGTTTGTAATAATTTTATGCTTTTATATTGTTATACTTCGCTTAAAATTATTTGGATCACATAGTGAAGAGTAAATGTCTATCTATCTATATATATATATAGTTAATATTAAAATAACCTAGCATTTTTATTTTGGTAAATAGTTTGTATTATTGTAATAAATAAAAAAAAATTTTCAAGTAAATAGAATTGATTATTTAGATTGCACATAATCAAAAAAGTATATTTCCTGAATCTCTATGCTTTGATTCGTGGATATCTCATTCGATAGAATTTATTGAGATAAGGAAAATGCTATGAATAATTGGTCAAGAATTTTCATCATTTTAGTCAATTTTCTGGGCATCCGTGGGTATTTATCAACAAAATCAGATTACGAAATATCGACTTGAAATTTCGTCCAGACAAAGACTTAATGATCTTTAGAATACTATGGAGCCGAACTTTTCAAGGCTTTTTTCGATACAGTACGTATTTTCTGAAGATGTTCAACTAATGAAAATAAACTATAAAAGAAAAACAATTTCACGACTTTAAACGTTACCGTTCGGAAGTAAAATAGAACTCTGCATAGAATGGGACAGTTCTCATGGGAGAAACAATCATTTATATAAATATTTTTGGATGTGGATATTAAAGAAGAGAACTATCAATACCCATAAAGGGAAGAGCAAAGTGCAAATATGATATAATTTTATCGTCGTATATCATAGCAAATAGCTCTTATCGAAATCTTATTAGTTGAAGTATGATCAAATGTCACAGGAAAATAGAGCATTTTTTCAATACACTTCAAGCTACTCTTATTTCAAAGAGAACTCCTTATCACTTCGGATAAGGAAAAGATTTTTTTTTAATTTTATTTCATTTTAGAGGCTCTCAAAATCTTAGGTGATATTTTCTAGAAAATCCATGATTTACTTTGATATTGAGAGTTAACACTATCGCCAAGAAATAAAAGAATTCATAAAGTAACCTTCGATAATGGTTCACAACTACCATACCGCTTATAATTTTCCTATGGGTATGATATTGAACTTTTCATTGTCGATTTTTTGGAGTGAGGAGGGGACGGGGTGGTGGTGAAGCTTCAATAAACTTCTCGTTTAAGATAAAGCAAATATCTTTGTGTTCATTATTCGTTCAAGAAAAAAAAATTCGTCATTATGTATTCGTGTACAAATTGCAAAAGAAAAAAAAATACACACAGAGAAGAAAAAAAAAAGTATGACGGTCAGCGTGAAAGAAGAACTAAGAATCAATCTTAGACACTGAAACCAGAAGAAAAAAATCGACAATGACTAGAACAGCAAGGGCAACATAAGGTTAATGAATGAACTTGCATTCTTCAAAGTAAGTGATCAACACTTATTAAATAAAAAACAAAAAAAAAAGAAAAAACACACGGACACAACGACTAGATGACTATCGAAAATTGGCCATTTCATAATGGGCAAAACGTTCGTCATCATAAGAAGGTACAGGTGGTTGTGGTAACGGTGGTGGTGCTTGTCGATAATAATCATGAGTCATTGTTGATGGTCTCCGTTGAAGAAGACCTCCTCCCGTACTTCCAGCTCCGTATCTATTAGTCGATAATTGTGATGGTGTACGTTGAGGTAATAGATGTGATTGTGTTATATCATTAACAAGTGGTGATGATGGAAGAAGACGTGTAGTTGTTGTTGTTGTTATAACCGGTACTGTTCCTGGTGGAGCTATTTGTGGTATATGAGCAATTAAGGCAGCTGCTGGACGTGGTGTTACATGTGTTGTATCATTTGTTAATTCATTTTTATCATCTAATTTAGGATGTGTAGCATTCCAATAGATATCCAAAAAATTTGCTAAACAACTACAAGCATCTTCTAATTGATTTTGTTCTAATATTAAATCAAACATATCCTAAAACAAAAAACAAAAATTCTTTTGTTTTTCTTTTTCTTTTTTGTATTTTAACATACTGTAGAACATTGTGTTAATTTATCAGCAGCAACTAATTGTACATTAAGATTTCTATGTTGACTTTTACCACGTGATTTAATTAATTTTTGTAAAACTTTTGGTGATGCAACTTTTAAATAAACAATTAATGGTGCTAAAGATGTTTTTTGTAATTGAGCTGGATGATTTATTGTATCACAATCAAGTACAACTAATTGAAGACTTCGTGCTAATTCAAATATACGTTCAATTTCATCATGAACTTCTTTTATACCAGTTGAACGTGTTGTACCCATTGGACTTATCATATTAGGTGATGTTCCACTAGATGCATTTGCACTAGCACTTGATGGTGCACCACGTTCAATAAGTGCAATTTTTGATGGATTATTTAAAAGGCCACGTTTAGCTAGAGATATATCAGCTGTAACACGTGTTATTATTATACGACCTTCATAACGATGTTTTAAAAAATCAAAAACAGCTTTTTGCATCATATCAGTTACATCATAGCCTTTTAAAGATGGACCAACAAATACAACAGGACGCATATTGGGTACAACATCATAGGGAGTAATGTTTACAGCCTAGAAAAGAAAAAAAATAAAACATCCATGTTTAAAGTATTTTCTGTTTATGTCAATGAATTTCCTTATCAATTTTTTTTTTGATAGTTTTATAAAAAAAAGAATAGAATTTCTATTTCAAATTTTATACGATCATTTTGAATAATAATGAATTATATTTAGGGTTTTTTTTTTCTTTTTCTAGTTAGTTACTAACATCTAACAACAAAGTAGTAGCAATTGTTATGCAAGGATAAAGAACAAACGATAGACATATTAATTATAATTTCATCTTTTGTCCTTAAACAGGCGCTTTTGTCTGTCACGATTAGTTAACAAAAGAATGTTTGGTTTTCTCTTTTGGAATATTCGAAACATTTGATATCTTATAAAAGGCAATAGAAATTTTGATAGTTTAAAAGGTAGTAGAATAAATAAAAATTTGAGAAAATTTCTTTTGAAACAATTGTTTTAACCCTATGCTTAGATTTGTAACCAAACATCTCGAGCTTGGTCTATATCAATAGCACCTGATTATTTGTACTTGAAATTTATTCTTATCCCATTTAATAGATATATTCAAAGTATATACAATTCAAGATTCTGTTTACCCACATAATAATTTCTATATATCAATGACAGAAATATGTTGAACTTTAACATGGAAATTAGCTATTTTCTGTACAGATATTTCTTTCCTTTTAAGAAATATCGATTAATTAGAGAATATTATACAAAGATGGTATTTCTGTAAATAAAGACAATACAAAAAAAGATACATCTGTCATACAACTAAATGAAAACAAAAGAATATTTAAAGACAATGTTGTCGAGAAACTACATAATAAGTTATATATTTTAGACTAGAGTATATATGTCCAAGTTACTTGATATATGTATAATTATAATGAATGTATATTAAAAGATTATTCATTATTTAATTTTAGTCTATATTATATAGTATTTTGTCTTTTCTTCATGCTTATGAATATTGTTCTTTACCTTTTTAAAAAAAGTTTTCTTTTTATCTTTATTAGCATTAAGATTTAATTTTGATTTTGTAAGACTATCACCATCACCTTCATTGCCTAATGTATCATCACCAAAACCAGGAATATTCTGATCAATAGCATCAAGACCTAGAACGACACAAAAAAAAAAAGATTTATTTTTGTTTTAATTTTAAAAAAAATTTTATTATTTACTTTGTGTCGATGCTTTAATACGTGATGTTGTATTTGCTAATGATTGTGGTTGATTTTTATTTTTTCGATTTGATTGTATACGAATCATTTCTAATTTAGCTGGACTTGGAATAAAGCCAAGTTGTGCATCAACTTTAACTAATCGACCAATCCACCAATCATTATTAAATTTCTAAATATTCAATATAAAAAAGCTTTTTTTTTGTTTCTAACTTATTCTTACATCTTTTATATGAAGAAATTCTTTTGCTGGAAAAGCAATTGCTGCTTTAGCAATAGGACAAAGATCATCGGTTGAAGGGATATATTCAATATTTGTTCGAACAGCAAAAGCAACAGGTTTTGTTTTACATCGTTCGAGTGCATCAGTTGCTGAACGAGTTTGATCACGAGGTTTTATTGATGATAAACCACTTGTTGTGGTTGTCGGTTCTCGTTCTCTTTCACCTGTATCACCATCTAAACTTTCTGATGATTGCTGACTATAATTTGATTCAGCCGAGCCCTAGAAAAGAAAACAAAAGCTAATATTAGATAATGGTCTTTTCCATTGATAAACTACAAAGAAGATAAGAAAAATAAAAGGCATAGCATTTCTAGAATTAAAATTATATTCTCAATAATATCTAAGATTAGACGAATTAATTTGTTTATAAAAAAAAACAAAGAAGATTATGTTTTTAAATGTTATGCCTTAGAAATCTATTTCTTAATCAATAATTATAAAAAAGAAAAACAAACATTTAAGAATTTTTTAATATCATCTGATGTA